GGGGGGCTCACATTCTAAAAAAAAAAAAAATAATAAAAATATTTATTTACATTTACACATATTTTAATTTTATCTTTCATACTGACGTAGTGAGTAAAAGTGAAGCCGTCCTCAGAGACAGAAGAACAGCAGCTCACTGTTAAAACACGTCAACAGTCTGAGTAACAGACAAAGACTGACGGATGATGTGTGCGTGTGTGTGTGTGTACGTGTGTGTGTGTGTGTGTGCGTGTGCGTGCGTGTGTGTGTGTGTGTGTGTTGTGTGTGTTGTGTGTGTGTGCGTGTGCGTTGTGTGTTGTGTGTGTGTGCGTGTGCGTTGTGTGTTGTGTGTGTGTTGTGTGTGTGTGCGTGTGCGTTGTGTGTTGTGTGTGTGTGTGTGTGAGACTGACTCAGCATCGTGTTGCTGCTGCATCAACTCGTACAGGAATATAATATATGACATATATATATTATTATCACATATAAAGATTCTCTCCTCCAGTGAAATTTGTTAAAAATATCTGAGATGATTTGTGATGATTTTTACATAGAACACACACGTTTTCTATGTAAAAATCATGTGTTAACGTTATATATTTAATTTGTATTTAGGAGTTCATTCAAACAACATAAAAACTCTATATGTTTATATATTTTTCTTATTCATTTCTTCTTTCACAGGCTTTGGGATGGATATATATTTATGCAACATATGTCTTGATTCTGGTTTCATTTTTACATATATGATATAAGATAAAAATGTCTACTTCATATATGTATATAATATATACATATATAAATGTATAATTCAATATATGTACACATATTATATTTGGGTGAAGGATGAACTTGAGCTGGAGCCAAACATGTGTAAAGAGTCAGAGAGGAACCGGCCTCTACACAAACAGGAGTTATTTTCCTAGTTCACTGTCGATAAAGTTTCATTATATTAATTAGTCGCTGGAGTTTTTACATCTGTTGCTCCACGACATTAATCTGACGAGAATCTGCACAAATAAAATGTAAAACATCATAAAAAACACGAGTTAAAAACGTCTTGAAGGTTAAAGCGTCAATAATTTAAATATGAAGATATTTTGATTTTAAAGTTTAAATTTCCCTGCTGAAATCTTCACATAGAGACTGAACACGTGTTTCTCCTCTGTGGTTCTGCTGATTTGATTTGTTCTCGCAGCTGAAACAAACAGAAGCTCATTTGTTTATCAGACGTGTCGACGTGGCGTTCACCCAATCCCGTACGTTGTGTTTCTTTGTGTCGCCGCTTTCGCTCCGAACCCACATTCCACATCTGCTCCATATTTCTGACCGTTTATTGAAATCGCACGTAAATTTTTCAATGTGCATTTTACATAAAAACAAATCCACGCATGAGTTCCCTGCAACCGCCGCCGCTCGGCTGAAAGGAGACGCCGCCGCCGACACACCGGTACGCAAAGAAGTCGGTTGGTTGCGGCGTCACGGAGGCGCAGAGGACAATGATGGCGTGCAGACGGTCGACACGTGCTCACGCCTTTTATCCAGCGTTAGCGTCTATAAAGTCGTATTCATATGCAAAGTGAGCGTGGTGAGGCCGGACTGACGCACGCCTCGGTTTGCAAATGTGACGGTTGGTTTCTGTTGAGTGTCAAATAACCCGAGACGACGCTTTAATGTAACAACACGGGAGTTTACACAGAGGTCAGAGGTCAGAGTCTGCTGAGGTGTGAAGTGAACTCAGCATTAAAATGTCTTGATATCTGAGAGATCGGCACAGGAGGCGAAGAAACACGGAACAACCTGTTAACAGGACGAAACGCTGACGACTGCTCGGCGTCTGCAGGAGCTGAAACAACATGTGAACTCTCGTCTTCGCCTCGACTCTCCGACATTTCTCTGACTCACTGGTTTCCTGCTCGTCGGCTGTCAGACACTCATCAGGTCTTTAAAGCTTAAAGTAACTTTTCCTTTTATGACGTCACAGCAGGTTCTGCTGTAACGACCCGCTGATGACTTTACTGAAGTCATTCCCCTTTTATAAAATATAAAAATATATAAAGACGTGGTGCGGGTCTGTGAGTCACAGTTTTACTCTGTGAAACACAGCGATATAGAAACTGACAGCGCTTCAGTTCAACATCCAGATCACAGGAGCTGCAGGATCGGAAATGAAGAGTTGTGTTGCTGCAGGAATCACATCATCATCTAATGACCATTGATGACTCATCACAACATCTGTCCTGGTGTTTGTGAATCAGGTGAAACTGAATCTCTCTCGTGTTTTTAATATGATTTGATTTTCATGTCGTGTTGGAGTCGTTTCACTGACGGTCACTGATCACATATTGATTTATTAAGTCATTTGATCACTTCAGCTTCATTAAAAAAGGTTCCTCTTGTCTCATTTCACACGGACGTCTCCGGTGTTTGAGAAGTTCACTTCATCATTTATTCATTTATACTTTACTGTGACAGTTAATGTGAATGAAACATGAATCACTTCTTGTTATTTAAACCTTCTGACACAAACATTTTAACATATTTTAAGGAGACACGTGTTGATCAGGGTTACAGGGTCAGGTTTATAGATTTAAAGATCCACAGACAAACCTACATCATATATTTGTTCTTCTGTCAAAAGCTTCCTGAGATTCAGATAAACTCTGTTTTGATGAGAACGTGAGGAACCGTTCTGCCTCCTGTCTTACACCTCTAATGACCTTTTAACCCTTTAGAGACTCAGCTGCTGCTGATGATGATGATGATGATGATGATGATGATGAGGAGGAGGAGGAGGAGGAGGAGGAGATGATGAGGAGGAGGAGGAGGAGGAGGAGGAGCAGGAGGAGGAAAGTGAGATGGAGCTGGAAAAAAGAAAGACAGGAAAGAGGAAAGAGAAAAAAAGTGAGGAAAAGATGGACAGAAGAGGAGGAGGACGAACAGGAGGAAAACAATAGGAACTGGAGAGAAAGAAGAGGAGAAGGAGGAGGAGATAAAGAAGCCAAAACTAATTTCAACAAAATAATCAAAGTCTGAGAGAGGAGAAGAAAGAAGAAGAGAAGGAGAAAGAAGAGGAGGAGAAAGAAGAGGAGAAGAAAGAAGAGGAGAAAGAAGAGGAGGAGTTAAAGAAGCAAGAGAAAACTAAAATATTCACATCAGTGTGACATTAACAGAATAAATAAAGTCTGAGAATATTTTCACTGTCAGAGGAAGAGGAGGAAGAGGAGAAGGAGCGAAGACCAAAAGG